AATACAAACATGTCAACCTTTTTCTTAACAAACTATACTACTTTGGTGGAGGTTGGTGGTCTCGGACTTCTCTTCATATTCTTTCCTATGTCAGCATAGAATGCAATTTTCATGGAGTGACTAGCTTATCTAGTTACAGTGACTTCATACAGCTCAACAGACCGTTTTCCTCCCATGGTCAGCCTATCAGTCCTTTCCTTCACGCTGCCTTGCCCCCAGAAGAGATGGCTACTTCAGAACCACACACCAAGGCCCTGGGGCGACCTTGGAAGTGCTACAGGACAAATACGTTGCTCCAAAGGGTCTGTAAGAGACATCTAATCCCCGAACGATTTATTCCCACGACTGTGAACAATGGAAGTTAGTTCTAGCGAGTCGTTTCGGAGTGCTGGAGGAACAAGAAGGGGAGGGAAGAACAACGGAGCGCCTTTCTCTGCGCCATGACTCAGAGTTGTCGCCAAGTCTACCACAGTCCTTGAGAGACCTCTCCATCTATTGTTGAATACGGCGACATTTTCCTTGATGTAATGCTTCTTTCAACATTTGGTAAACAAGTGCTCTGTTTGTTTTTTCTTCTGATTGTGCAAAGCGCTCGGCTAACTCTGGCTGTTTGCGTTTAAAAGATTTTAAAAGTCGGAGAAGTGCCTCCACTCAACCGAAATGAAACTTTCATGTTTTCGCCTCCACACAATGAACGGGATCTCACAGGTTCAAAACATAAACATCGCGGTGCTTTCGGTGATTATCTTAAAGCCATTTGACACAGGGACCAGCCAAGCAAGCAAACAGCTTACTTAAGAATTAGCGCTGTCGCCGGTTAGAAAAACGTAATACAGCTAGCTAGCTCTCTACTATGGATTAAGGCATTATCACAATCCCAACCTACACAGATTATGACAATCACCCTTTCATGCAGACACTTGTTTGACGCGATATCCAATTCTTATATTACTTGTAATTCGCTTTCAGATTGAATTTGAAATGAAAATTTTGTGCCGTGCATTTCAA